ACAGGTGAGGAAATTAAGGATTAGAAGAGCTAAGCAGCTTCTTTTGTTCCAGTTCTCAGTCTTGGAGAACACTGGCAGTAAGTGGTTCACACCCATGTTTTAGGTAGTTCAGCAGCCCAACCACTTGCCAGGTAGAGATTTAAATATTTGCTAAACTATGCAAGCCAGCAAAAAAAGTTTTTTGTGATGATCCCATAATTTGTGTAGCTGTTTTTTAAATTCATTTCTGGTTTATGTTTTTTCAATATCTCAACTTCTTGTCTAATTTTGATATCATTTCTTTTCTGATTAGAAAGATTGTCTTCTTTAAGAACAAGGAAGAAGTCCATTTATTTAATATAAATAACTTACTCGTTTTTTCACAGCTATGGGAAAACTTTGTGCTTAGTATATTCTTAACTATTTTTCTTAATTAAAACATGGAAAGTACCTTTGATTTTGATTTTTCTGTTGCTTTCTCTTTCTTTCATTTTTTTGAATCCTGGTCAGGAAAATGAAAAGTGCTATTCGAGACTTAATTATTTTTCTTTTGCCAGCATAAATATACTTCTCAAAATTATTGCTCTAACATTGGTGCCAATTATTTCATTGAAAGACTTCTCCCCCCCATCATTATTGTAATAGTTACTCTTAATTCTCATTTGTTTTTCGTACTTGAATTTTTTAAGATGGTGAAATGATGAGTTGTGGTTACCTGGGACAGTTGTCCATTTATCATAGTCATAATTCTTACCTTTTTCAATTTTTACTTTATTTTTTTAAATCAAGCATTCTCTCAGAAAAAAAATTAGTTTCAAATATTATTGAATGTTAAGTTCAGAGTTTTATCTTTCTAATTATTCTCTCATCTTTAATGTATACACATTTTTTAAATTGCAATTTTTATGCTCTTTGTTTTTTAGCTGTTTTATGGGGAAAATTTTGGCTGAAGAGATTTAGGCAAACCAGAGATTGAGTTGTAGAGATTAGATGTATGTAAATTGGCAGAGATTGTTAAACTCCAGATATTGAATCCTTCCTGATGTTTGGCCTTTGGGCCTTAGAACTGCAAGAATCTTTGAAATATCACTGAAGAAATTGTACATAAGAAATCTATATATACACAATCCTCTGTATATTTTATCAATGTATGTTACTTTTTTTTTTTTTTTGCCCTGCCACGCAGTTTGGGGGATCCTAATTCCCCAACCAGGGATTGAACCTGTACTCCCTGCAATGGAAAACGCGGAGTTCCAACCAGTAGACTGCCAGGGGATTACCTGGCGGCATGTTCCTGTTTTAATTACTGGTAACATAATGTGTGCCGGTTGTAACTGTTAAGCAGTGTATAGACACGTCAGGACCGGGATGTTCTCCTGAAGTCCTGTTTATCCCTCCAGGCAGCCTGCAGTTCGGTTATGCTTTCCCAGCCCCATGGGACAGATCGGCCAGCTGGAGGTAAAGATTTCAGTTTTACAGTGTTGTTGTTGTTCGGTTGCTCAGCTGAGACCCCGTGGACTGCAGCATGCCAGGCTTCCCTGTCCTGCACTGTCTCCTGGGCTTGCTGCTCAAGACCAGGGGGTAGGCTCAGGCATGTGTATTTTTCAGAAGTGAATCTCATATATCTAGTATACATCACTAATTAAGAACCAATATAGTAATTCAGTATAGACTTTTAAATAAGATTTTGCTCATTTTGAGACTTTCTTTGCAATTTTTTGCTTTTGACTTTGTTAGCAGTCCTCTTTTCTCTCTTCTGGACTCCTGCACTCCCCAGTGTTGGGGTGTGGGGAGAAGTGAGTTCTGGGGTGGAAGGCACCAAGCTGTGGCACTTTGTTCTTTTTTCCAAATATCTGTTAACCTTTAAACATTTTACTTCTTCCTCATGAGTTTTGAAACTGATCATAAATGGTGCCTGCTGGAACAGCTCTTAATGTACATTTAAAAAGGGAAGATGAGAGTGAAAATATAAGTGAGTTTATTTGTATTTTATGTTTATCTCTCTTCCCATACACAACTCTCAAAAATTACAGAGCTTAAGTATTTCAGTTTTCAAAGATACTCTTTGAATTAATTCATTTAACAAATAACCAAACTTAAGATGTATCAGTTATAATAAATATTTGATTTTGGATTTATAATAGCCTTTGTTTTAAAAAGTAAGGTGAAATTAAAAGAACTAAAAAAATATTTCATGTGTTTGCAGTTATCTTTGAGTTTGAAACTCATAAAACTTACAGAGCATTGTTCTAGAATACAGTCACAGAACAAAATGTTCTATGTGGAGGGCCTCTGCAGGAGAGGATGGTGAGGTCTCCACCAAGGGGGTGTATGTTAATTACATAGGAGAATTTTATACTGACAAATACTTTAAGAACTGTAATCTTAACACTTTGAGAGGTTGTGACTATATGGTTGGTTCATAATGGTGTTCAAGTAGTGATTGTTGGTTGACTAAATAATATACATTTAGGTAAAAAGAATTAATGACAGTAGGATCTATAATGCTAAGAAGTGGCTTCACTTTTTCAGTGGATTGATGGTTCTAGAAATATTTGATGTTTCAAACTGCTAGATGCACAATCCATGTTAAGGAGCAAGACCCTGGATCCAGACCTCCTGCGTCTCTTCTGTATAAGTGTCTTAATATTCTTTGCTGAGAGATGGTTTCTATTTTTTAAATTGGTTAAGTCACTTTGCATAATTATGTTATATTAAGTCATTTTGAAGGCAGAATTTTTAACCTGTTAATTATGAATGTTTAGTTACTATATAAAGGCACTATCTATGAGGCACCAATAGAGATAAAAATATATTAGATTCAAGGCATATATAGTAGATATAGTGCCTGTCTGCCCTTAATAAGTTTGAAATATAATTGAAAAGAAATATTAAATACCTTAAGAGAGGAAAAAGTATAAGAACAAACTAACACAGAAGTGTTAGTTGATTAGTCGTGTCTAACTCTTTACTACCCCACGGACTGTAGCCCACTAGACTCGTCTGTTCATGGGATTCTCCAGGCAAGAATACTGGAGTAGGTAGCCATTTCCTTCTCCAGGGGATCTTCCTGACCCAGGAATCCAACCCTTGTCTCCTGTATCTCCTGCATTGGCAGACGGGTTCTTTACCTCTAGTGCCACCTGCAAAACCCCTTACAAAGCTCTATGTGAGAGTGTTGTAATTGCCTATTATATGGTCCTAAAGGAGAAATAGATTGTTTTGGATAGGAAAGTTTGGTAGCAATGTGGAAGATTTGGAGGAAGACTCATTGGAAAAGACCCTGATGCTGGGGAAAATTGAGGGCCAGAGAAGGGGGTGACAGAAGATGAGATGGTTGGATGGTATCACTGACTCAATGGACATGAGTTTGAGCAAATTCAGGGAGATAGTGATGGATAAAGAAGCCTGGCGTGCTGTAATTCATGGGGTTCCAAAGAGTCGGACATGACTTAGTGACTGAACAACAACACAAAGGGGAAAAAACATTTAAGATGGACAGGATATCATGTATAAAAGTCTGAATATTGGAAAGCACAGGAATATTCTAAAAACAGTAAAGAGACCAGATTGTTAGAATGAAAGATAGCTTGGCAAAGTGAATTGTTATCAATAAGATTTAGCGTATTATAAAATTTCTTGTAGATATTCATTATGTCCTTCAGTCTTTTTAATTCCAAACCCATTCTTGTCCCTAAAAAGAATTGGCCGTTAGTAGTAACTGGAAGAAAAGCAGATTTGAGTTATGAAAGGCTTGGGGAAGCCATGGCCAGAGCAAATACTGCTAGCCTGTTTTTTTGTAAATAAAGTTTGATTGGAACACAACCATGCCTGTTCATTTACATATAGTCTGTGGCTGCTTTTATTGAGTTGAGCATTTATGACAGAGGCTGTGTGGCCTGCAGAGTTAGAATAAACTGAAAATATTTACTCTCTGGTCCTTCACAGAAAAAGTTTGCAGATGCCTTCTTTCGATCCCATGAGTCTTCACTATAAATAACAAATAATAGGATTTCTCAACTCTTAAGATTTTGGGCCAGATGATTATTTGTCATGGAGGGTGGGACAAGGGGAGCTGACTTGTGTATTGTAAGATGTTTAGCAGCCTTCCTAACCTCTACCTAATAGATGCCGGTAACACCTTTTCTTTCCCTCTCCACTCCCACCCTCCTGTATCCCTCAGGTTGTGACACAAATATCTCTGACATTGTCAGATGTCCTTTGGAGATCAAAATCACCCTCGGTTGAGAATCACAAAACATATGAATACCATAAGCGTGGTTTGTCCCGTGTTAGTGATTTTGAGTAATAAGTATTTCTTCTTTATTTTTGTGTGCCTTGTTGCTCAGCCGTGTCTGACTCTCTGTGATCCCACGGACTGGAGCCCACCAAGCTCCTCCGTCCATGGGATTTTCCAGGCAAGAACACTGGAGTGGGCTGCCATTTCCTTCTCCAGGGGATCTTCCTGACCCAGGGATTGAACCCAGGTCTCCTGCATCACAGGCAGGTTATTTACCTTCTGATCCACCTGGGAAGCCCAGTTTTATCTCTAAGTCTGCTTTTGGCAATTAAAATACCTCTATTCTTCTAGTCTTCTGTCTTAGATAATACACCTATCTGTAAAGGGAATTTTGTAAGTCAGTCAGTTATATGTAGGAAGTAGGATAGCATAGCGAATAAAGCATGGACCTTCAAGCTTGACTTCCTGCCTGCCTTTCAGTTTTGCCACTTATTGACTGTGATCTTGGATAAGATGTTCAACCTGTCTATGTATCTGTTTTCCAATAGGGCTGTTAAAAAGAATTAAAGGAGATAATGTGATACAGTGTGCAATTTAATGCCTTGTGATATAGTAAATGCCATGTAAATGTTTAGTATTATTAGTATTTACTTATATGCATAGTGTCATACAAACCTAAAAATTATATGAAATAAAATTCAATTGTATTATGAAGGGGCAGTTTAACTTTTACTGGGACTAAAATGTATCATGAGCTTTTTATTTTGTTTTTATTTTCTAGGTATTACATGAAACCTTCCCTAAACATACATTTCTGATGAATGGCCTAATTCAAGGAGTAAAGGTAAGATCAGTCCTGTATATATACATATGTATATGTATATTCATGTACACAAACATGCACACATACACTTATATATATGTAATCCTGCTAGTCCGTTATGCTATTAGATCAGTTTGCTAAGTGTTAATTTTTACAATTGGAATATATACCTCAAGGGATTGCTTAACACTTTTTAAATGAACTGAGTTTTAAATCGATTGGGCTCATATATAGCCAACTATATATAATAATAAGCTACATCATAACAGATTTCCCCTGTGTTTTATGTGTTGGTATTTTCATTATGGAGATCTGAACACTTTTGTAAACTAGCAACATGAATGTATATTGAAGAGAAAAGAACTAATTAAAAAATACACAAATATGAAATATATTGATATGGTAAAGTATTGATTATTCTACATTTTCTTTACTGTTGATTCCCTGTGATCAACAGGTTTATAAATAGAAAATAAGCATATAATATTCCTTCTAGAATTGCTAGTGTAGAGTTGTAGTCAGAAATTCATTAGAACATTTTGTATCTAATGTGCTACAAAGCCCTGAAGATGATTCTGGACAGTCTTGGGAATTTTCAATTATGTACAGACAAGAAATAAGCTCCTTATCTAAAATTTGGTGATGTACTTATTTTGGAAATAGACTTGTTTAAAATTCTTCTGTAAAGTGATTTATTTTGGCTCATCAATATACATAGTATATGTATTTTCTTCATTTAACTTTTTTTTAGGGTTTGTTGTCCTTCCTCAGTGCCCCTCTTATTGGTGCTCTTTCTGATGTTTGGGGCCGAAAATCCTTCTTGCTGCTAACAGTATTTTTCACGTGTGCCCCAATTCCTTTAATGAAAATCAGCCCATGGTATGTACACATTCAGATTATGGCAATTAAATATTAACTGTTAATTTTTTTCTGAATATTCCCTCATTTCTTTCACTTTTATCCATCTTATTTATATAGGTTTTAAATACATTTTTCTAATACATTTATTCTTTGATACAGATAAAATACAGTAGCTGAGTAATATAGCTAATTAAAAATATAGTAGTAAGTAATAAAATATTTTTAACTTGTTGCCACTATAGAAAGCATGTAGACTACTAGCTAACCTGCTTTTGGGTTTCATAGCCCAAATTTCAAAACAATATTTTAGGGATTGGATAGAGTTGCTAATTTTTAATTTTCTTAAATAGAATGTTTAAGGAAAAAAAACACAGTTTATCATCATTATCTGTATTATTTAGGAAGAGATCTAGTTATAATATCAGTTAAGTCCCAAATAATAGTTTCTTAAAATCAGGAAAACTTATTGCTAGTTTCTCTCTGCATGTGAAAGAAGTCTGGAGTTGAGCACTTGAGAGCTGATCTGGCAGGGCCTGGAAACCAGACATTTTCTGTCTTCACGCTCTGCCATCCTCTCTTGTCACCTTGCTGTCCGGGATGGTTGCTTATGTGAGTTCCAGCTTGTCATCGCCTTCAGGCAGCAAGGTGGAAGGAGTGACTTAAGAAGAGCACATCGCCTTCTTTTAGGGAAACTTCAGAATTTTCACCCAACCTCTGCTTGCGTCTTTTTGGTCAGATTGCAGGCCCATCCTAGTTAAGAGAGACTGGGCTCTTGGCCGCCTTGATTAGAATCAAGTCTTTCACTGGGGAAGAAGGGAGGGAAAACTCACAAAGAGAATGATTTTCCCAAGATAATAAAGCCTAGTTTAGTTGTAGATAACTGTATTAATTCTTTGACTAATGTTCTTCGCCACTTGACTGTTAATGTTAGTTACTTCTACCTCATAGATGGGCTGCCTTTCCATGTGTATCTAGAAAGGCCAGGGGTATTTATGGGGCAGGATCTTCCTTTCTCATAGGTGAGATATTGCCCTAAAGGCCAAACCCCTGATGAATACTAACCATGTAAATGAAATCTAACTGAACAAATCTAGGGCATGAACAAATAATTTGCTGTGAAAAGCAGCATGTTAGAAAAAAATCTAGTAAGCAGTAAAGTCCTGCTGGCATGATATTTTGAAAGTGAAGTGTGATTATACTGGATTTTAAAAACTGAACGTCATCATTACAACAGAAACTTCTTATTCTCAGCAAGGTATGTTTGAATCATGAATAACAAAATGTAGTTTGCTTTTTAAAATGGCTTTTGTTCATTTTATAGTATCTGTATTGGACACTGCCATGCAGGTTTCTTCTATGTGGAAACTGAATTCTTTGTTTTGGCAACATTTGAAAAGCTAAAGATAACTTAGGGAAAAACATTAGTTTTTTATATATAAGTTCAAGGTAATAGAAACTGAGGAACTAACTTGCCCCCTCAGTTTTATTTACTAAATTTTGGTTTTTTGTGTAGTACTGTGATGGGAAATAAGATGAATTACAGTAGACTCTAGTTTATTTCTATTTTTAGTAGAAACAACAACAAAGCCACTTAATAAAACAACAAAGCCACTTACCCAACAGTTGGGTAAAAAATTGACCTGAAAACATTATCTAATTTTAAATATTCCTGCACAGTAGCTGAGCTGCTATGAAAGGCCCACTTCTAGCCCAATGTTTTTGTAATATCTGGAGCTTATGATTTATAGGAGAATTAATGTCTACTAGCTGTTGACTGAAATTAGCTGTTCTTACATTAGTTCACTTATAGAAATGAAGGTAGATCAAGGTAATGGTAATTGTTCTAACCTTTTCTGTCAATTGTCTTTTAATCCTAGGTGGTACTTTGCTGTTATCTCTGTTTCTGGGGTTTTTGCAGTGACTTTCTCCGTGGTATTTGCATATGTAGCAGATATAACCCAAGAACATGAAAGAAGTATGGCGTATGGCCTGGTATGTATGTTTAGTCTAATACCTTTATCTGCTGAAAAACACTCCATATTGTCTCTTATAGCCTTTGCATTACAAGATTATTTTTGCATAAATACATTTTATAAAAATCATCCATAGATCACATTAAAGCATTTTTTCAGTACAAAAGCCATGTAAGTTCTGCTGTTTTCATTCAGTAAGTTTTTGTCAGACATGTCAGATTTGAAATTATAGTGAAATATTTTTACCTTATAGAAGTCCTTTTTAATAGACTACTAAAGGAACTATTTAATATGTAATAAGATTTAAAATTACTAATATATAATGGCTCATCTAAAAGATAATAGGTTAATATCCATCTCTGAGATCCCAGACCTTTTCTGTGGCTCTGTGGGCCACATGTAGTCTCTCTCATATTCAACTGTTTTTTAAATTAATTTTTATTGAATAAATCTGACATAACATTATTTAACTTTGAAGTACACAAAGTGTTACTTTGATACATGTATATATTGTAATATAATTGCTGTATATTTACCATACTACATAATTGTAGTACAGTACTGGTGTCTGTATTCATTTTACCTTGCATTGGCTCTCTCTGGCCTATTTACTACTACTGGCAAGTTTGTCTCTCATTTTCTTTTGTGTTTGCTTGTGGGCATGTGTTTACATCACTTTTAATGTGAAAGAACCATTTATAGATGGAGTTAGCCCACAGGTGGTAGTTTGCCAAACTCTGGACACTGTTTTGGTAAACTAAATACTTAGTGGCAGTATAGTCTGTTGTCTATCAAATCAAGTTAACAGATCATGATTAGATAGCCAGAAATGGGACAGTGATGAGTTTCAGCAGATATGCGGCAAGCATCTTCTGTTAAATAAGGACTGAATATCGTGTCAGGCTGAGTCTTACTTTTATGAGAGACTGTTTATCTTTGATTCAGAGATCAAAAAGAATATTTTTAAAAATCATGGAATTAGGAGGATTTTGAAGGAAATACAGTAAGAAACTTACAAAAAACTAATCAGTTGTAAACTCAAGTACATTAAATGATGAGGTTGATGATAGCCAGGATGTTTTTAAGCAGCTTCCCGGGTGCTGCAGTTGGTAAAGAATCTGCCTGCTCAATACAGGAGACAGAAGAGATGCCAGTTCAGTCCCTGGGTTGGGAAGATCCCCTGGAGTAGGAAATGGCAACCCACTCCAGTATTCTTGCCTAGAAAATCCCATGGGCAAAGGAGCCTCGTGGCTACAGTCCATGGGGTCAGAAAGAGTCAGATGTGACTGAGCATGCACACATACGTACTATAAAATTATCTATTTTATGTGGATAGATAAATCAGTTTTGTGGCCATAGTCCAGGTTGTTTCTGTTTTTGCTCAAGTAATTTATTTTGTCTTAGCTAAATCTTTGAAATTAATAATTTTCAGCCTGGAAGCTTTATGTTTTAAAGGCACAACTAGTAAATAACAACTTTAGTCTTCTCAAAGGAACATGGATGCAAATAAAAGAGGTTAAGGTGATCTTTGTGGCCCTCTTTCTATTTGGTCAGAAACAAATGGCCACCAGCTGGGGAGAACTGAGGAGAAGGGAAGTGACATGAAATAACCTACACTCTGATTAGACCTTTTCACTCTGCCTTTGCGCTGTGATCCGGAGAATATTCCCAGATACCTCATTGACTTTCACAGTGAGAACCATTGCCCCTTTCCCAGCTCAGTGCCGGAGCTCTGCTTATACCCAGGTCCCTCTGAGACCAGAGCCCACTATAATTAATTTCTCGAGTTACTGAAACAAAATACTACCAGAATCCAGTTTTAAATTGTTTCTAAGCCTGAAGGGTTCCCTTCAGCATAATCTTAGACGGTTTATCTATGCTGGCACATATGTCAGTAGTTCCTTTTTATCGCCATGTAGTATTCCACTGTGTGGGACATACCACATTTTGTTTAGCCATTTACTAGCTGATGAATATTTGGGTTGATAGCTAGATGTTGATAGTTATTAGAATTTTATGTATTTGTCAGATAGTTGACCACTGACAATTGAATTGCTTATCCTGAATGTGTGTTATTAATAAACAGCTGTAGGAACTTCCCCAGGTGGTCCACTGCCCAGGACCCACACTTCCAATGCAGAGGGCCCAGGTTGGATCCCTGGTGAGGGAACTAGATCCTGTATGCCACAACTAAGTTGGCATGCTACAGCTAAAGATCCCACATGCTGCAGCTAAGACCAGTGCAGCCAAATAAATAAATAATAAATATTACAAGCAGCTATAAATAAGCACTCCTGTGCAGGCTAAATGCTCCATGCAAAAGTCAGGACGAGCATAGAAACAATAAAACAGAGTAGTGAGCAGATGGACTGCCAACATTAATTCTAACTACCCTCTAAAGAGTGTGGTCTCTCTCAGGTGTTACGTGCTGCCACATCTACTGTTGGTTTGCAGAACACTTTGTCCAGTAGGCCAGACATGTCTGGGATTAGCAGTTTTTCTCCACCTGTGTCTTCTCTACTTTAGTCTGCATCTTCACCAGACGTGTTTGGACTTCCTCAGAATTTGAGAGAGACGTGGTTAGAGATGTGCTCAATGTCAAGGGTCGAAGCTCTCGCTCTCCCTAACCCTACCACCTCATGATGACCAAGCTCAGTTTTGTGTCGTGGCTTAACACTGTTCCTGCTGAAGAGAGAAACTTTAAAGTCTTTCAGCTGTATTTCAGCCAGCTTTAAATATGTGACAAAGTAAAAATGCATTTAATTTTAATTTTAGTATTGGGGGAGAAGTCCCAGTGGCATTGGATTTCCATAGAGTATTGTTTTAGACTCTCTGCATAGAGCACCGGGGGACTGTGGAGGCACCCTGGGGACCAGCATGCCGGCAGCTGGGGTAAGGGGGGTATTTGGACGGTAATCCAGGCCCCCAACCCCTCTTCAACTAAAACAATTTTTGTTTATTTTTAAATATATTTTTACTTATAACTTTGTCAGCAGGATTTATTTAAACAGAGGGCTCCAAGGCTTAAAAGAAAGTGAAGCCACTGTCTTAGAGGTTATCACATGGTTTTAGTTAAGAATGCAGTTCTTTTCTCCCCCTGCAGAAGAAGAATGTGTAAGAACGCCGGCGCAGGGCAGAGGGAAGGGAGCAGCAGGACTGGCATCACTCAGAGCCTCCCGGTGTGGGAGGGGTGCAGCCGGGCTGTCCTTACTCGTCTCTCTGTTGCTCTCGGTTTGCTGCAGGTTTCGGCGACATTCGCTGCAAGTTTGGTAACCAGCCCTGCAATTGGCGCTTACCTTGGGCGAGTGTACGGGGACAGCTTGGTGGTGGTCCTGGCGACAGCGATAGCTTTGCTAGATATTTGTTTTATCCTGGTTGCCGTGCCGGAGTCTTTACCTGAGAAGATGCGGCCTGCGTCGTGGGGAGCACCCATTTCCTGGGAACAGGCTGACCCCTTTGCGGTAACTATACACTTTGGCAAAAACATGAATGTGTGATTCAGTGCAGCATTAATGTTTTGTTGCAGATGTTTCTTTGGGGAAAACATCGTGATGAATTTTTAAAACTACTTTGGACACTTCAGAATAGTTTTGAGGAGGATGAGAATAAATTGGGGGAAAAAATGACAACTAGCGTCTGTATGTACACTGCCAGAAGATACCTCTGCATGTTCTTAAGAATAGTTCAGTGTTTTGATATAAAACCTTATATCAGTCTTTTTCTTGTTCTAGTCCTTAAAAAAGGTTGGCCAAGACTCCATTGTGCTGCTCATCTGCATTACCGTGTTTCTCTCCTACTTACCAGAGGCAGGCCAATATTCCAGCTTTTTTTTATACCTCAGACAGGTAAAAAAATTCTTTTCTACTAAAGTGGACTTTTCTTTCATTGTTTAGTGCCTTAATAAAAAAGTTTAATCTTGAGAGAGCTATAAGAATAGAGACTTTTAAAAATGACTATCATTTTAGAAATATGGCTCACTAGAATTAACTTCCTAGTTAGTGTGACCGACGCACTTCTATTAAGACTTTTGGCTTAGGCAAAAAGAGATAATCTTCCTGTCAATGTATGTGGTTTGAGTTTATGTGTTCCTTACAGAGGTGACGGAATGCTTTAATCCACTCACCTGCCCCACACAGTCTCTTTGTGATTTAGAGCATATAAAGCAGCTAGCCAGAATGAGCGCATTCATTTTTTTCTCCTTGACACTAATCTTTTTGGCAGAGATTAAGCCTTTATCAATATGCATGAAAATTACAAAGTGGTACAATATTTATTTGTAAAATAGATTTTAAATGCTTGATAGCAGTCTCCAATTTAGGAAATCAAAATTAAGGGATCAGGATTTAAATTTACTTAATCTGAGTTAAGTAGCTGTTATTTTCAGCATCTTGCTTTGTTATAATTTTGGTTCTCAGTGAATGTCAGATTCTTCCTCTGAGGAGTTCTTTGATTATGAATGAATTGCATTTTCTTTTCTTGTCCTACTTAATGTTAATGTACAGGTAGTTATGTTAGTATGGTATTTGTTGTGCTTTTATATTTATTAATGTTACTTTTTTGGAAACCCTCTAGATAATGAAATTTTCACCAGAAAGTGTTGCAGCATTTATAGCAGTCCTTGGCATTCTTTCTATTATTGCACAGGTGAGTTTCTTTATCATTAGAGGGAAAGATGTTTGAACGTTCAGAGATAACAATTCTGTTAATATAGGTGGTATTGATTGACACATACTAACATATGATGTAAACAAGAAAGACAGTTTATTAACTTACACTAGAATATAGTCACCTGCATAAAATCAGAAATTTTATGTTAGTCTTGTTCTACTGTTGAATGATTCATTCAGTAAATGTTTATTGAATACCTATCATGAGTCAGGCTCTTGTGATATAGCAGTGAACTTAACTAAATCCCTGCTGTTGTAAAGTTAGCATTCTTGTGGGATAAGAGGATGAATAAAAGTGTTGGTGTAAACATATCTGGTGTAATGAAAACTGGAGAAAAAGGGTAAAAGGGATGTAGCACGTGGCTAAGGGCAGGGTGTTATTTTATCTGGGAGAGTGGGAAGGCTTTGCTGATACACATTTGACATTTGAGCTGAGACCCAAAGGAATGAGGAACAATCCAATAGAATACCTGGAGGAGGAGAATTCTGAACCACTCGCACAGAACTACACCTCTGAGAGACCATTCCTAGATGTGTAAGAAACAGCTATGGGACAGGATGGCTTTGGTGGAGTGAAAAAGGGAGAGTGTCAGGAAATTAAATCCAAGAGGCAGAGAGGGACCAGATTTGTGTGGGGTCTTCCAGATCTCCATAAGACTTGACAAGCAGATAGGAAGCCATGGGAGCGTTTTGAGCAGAGAAGTGACATGAAGGTATTTTTATCTTGGAAACTCAGTTGGGAGCCAGCGGTTGTTTGAAGAATAAGATATTAATCAACACAAGAATCTGGGTTTCCTTAGGAGATATTTCATCCTGACCTTCATATTATCCCTGTTCCACACTTTCCCCAAGGTGGAAAAGACTCTCCCCTTTCTTCCTGTTTGGCTTTGATTTTCTAGATTCTGTAAGAGAGCACACACATACACACACACACATGTGGTCTATCCTAGCGCACTTTCCCACCTGAAATCCAGTCTCCTGGGTTGCAGCTTTGTCTTACTGTACTCTTAAGATGGTAAGTAAACTCTATTTGATAGTATTCTTGGATGGTTCACCATCTCCTAGGTAGGATTGCTTCTGTAGATCTCATCATTTATGAATTTCTGGTAGGTTTAGTTAAAAACTCTAAATTCTATAATATACTTCCCCCGTGACCTCACACATGCATACATGTGGCACTAATTATTAGTCCTATTTTTAACCTCAGTTTTATCCTAAGAATCCTTGATCTGGAAAAACATTGCATTTAAATATTCATTCCTTGCTATCAGAAATGTGTTCTTCATCTTTGAAGGAAAATACAGTATTGCTGGTATATACAAATAGCTTTAAAAAAAAAAACACCTTTCTGAACGCGAAGGAAAGTGTACTAAGACTAAAGCTTGATGAGTTATCAAATGTTAACTGACCTTGAATCCCAAGATAAATCTAGCCTGATAGTTATGTCTTATCTTTCAGATATTGCTGTGATTAGATATACTACTATTTTATTTGATTTAGATCTTAAAGAGAGCAGGCTAACAGTTCCTATAATGACACTTAAGAGGTTAGTAGCTGTACGGTCGTAAGTTCTGCTTCATGCTAAACTGAGTATGGACGCTGTAGGTGGGCACCTGGTAAATTTGGGCACACTAGGGACTGCTTGAATGAGTAGTTGAAGGTGCTTTAGGGGAAATTTTCCCTTTGCTCAATAGATGGCATCAGGTACAAAGGATACAAAATGGAAAACAGCGCAAGAAGAGCTCAGAATCAGGGCAGGCAGACATGTGAACCCAGGAGGGAGCATGGTTGGGTTTGCCTTAGAAAGAGTCTTGCAGTAGGAGGTTCATGAGGGCTGTGAATCTGGGAAGGGACAAGCCTCGGCCCAGCCGGCCTTGATAGCACAACAGATGCTGTATCCAGAAACGTGGTCTACAAAGAATGCAGTGCTTAATTGACCTACATAGGGATGGGCACCTACATAGGGATGTAGTTTATGAGATGTAAAATCGCATTTCTGAAAGTGAGAAAATTATGTAAATTTCAGAAACAGGTGAATAGGAGTATGTAGCCTGCATGTAAATATTGATAATTATAGTTTGTCATTGTATGAATTAAAATATCAAGTTATAGGTTATAGCCCTAAAGGTAGAAGCATTATGTTTTCATTTCTGGCAGGTACACAATTGAGAATGCCTTCTCCCCGTTGACCTCTCAAGGAAGTGAAAAACTAGCATCTTTGTGTCTCTCCAGCAGCACAGAGCTGCTTGCAGCTCGCACTGGTGCCTCCCTTTGTTGACTTTCCCGCTTGCCCTTGTGCCTTTGTTCCTGCCCTGCGTACTGCCTGCCCCTCTTACCCCTTGAGTATTCCTTCTCTGAGTTCTCATATAACTTGCCTATATCTCTATCATGGTACAAAATGCACTGTATTATGAATTTTACCTATTTATTTCTCATTATTTTTGCCTCAGTATATCATGAACTCTAGTAGAGCTCTTAGAAGATGTGAGGTCAGAATTATATCATAATTTGTTTTTGTCACTCTCGCACCCTGAACTGCACCTGCAGCCCCATGGGTGCTAAATTAGAGGTCACTTTTTTTTTCCATAGTAAATCTAGAAATGTAGCTTCTCACCCAGAATTACGAGATCTGATAACATGGTACAGCCCTCCAGTGGAAGCCGCATGGTTGTCGTCCCCTTTGGGGCCTTTACTCTCTGGTTTGCCATCGGCCCCGTCACTGCCATGGCACCAGCAAGCATGAGTTTATTACATTTCACTAAATATTCACACGAGTGCGTGAATACAGTTCGTTCTGTACACTTCTACTTGGTGCAGTCATCTGGTTCCCTGTGTCCTGGTGACATCCAGGTTTGTACCAGGCCAGTGCTGTCGAACACATCTGGACATCTCACACCTGACATGGCCGTGACTGCAGCCCGGCTTCTTAGCACCCACGCTGCTCATCTCATTTGGTGCCTTCACCGCTCTCCCAGCTGTTGAGGCCAGGAACCTTGGCACCATTCTTGATTCCTTTCTTTCTCCTTCTCCTACATCCAACCCATTAGATGGCATCTCCTTTCACCTCTCTCTCCAAAACATATTTTGGGTATTTTTGTTTGTGTGTTTGTCTTGTTTTTGTTGTTCAACTTGTAATTTTATGTTGGAATACCGCTGTGTGACAATGTTGTGATAGTTTCAGGTCTTACAGCAAAGTGATCCAGCCGTACATGTACATGTATCCATTCTCCCCCAGTCTCCCTTCCCATCCAGGTTGCCACACAGCATTTCACAGAGCTCCATGTGCTATACAGGAAAGTTCACCTGTATAATTTATTTTTAGTTTCTTCATATAAGCAGTATCATATGGTATTTCTCTTTCTCTGACTGGCTTCACTAAGTATGATAATCTCCAGGTCCATCCATGTTGCTGCAAATGACATTATTTTATTCTTTTCTATGGCAGAATAATACTCCATTGTATATATGTGCCACATCATCTTTATTCATTCACCTGTCGATGGACTTTTTAGGTTGCTCCCATCTCTTGACTGTTGTAAACGGTGTTACAGTGAATTCAAGAGCATGTATCCTTTCAGACCATGTTTTTCTCCAGATATATGCCCAGGAGTGGGATTGCAGGGTCATATGGTAGCTGTTTGTATTTTGAGGAACCTTCATGCTGTTCTCTGTAATAGCTGTACCAATTTACATTCTCATCAATAGTGTAGGAAGGTTCCTTTCTCCGCTTACCCTTTCCAGCATTTATTGTTTGTAGATTTTTTTTTGGTGATAGCCATTTTGACTGGTGTAAGGTGATACCTCATTGTAGTTTTGATTTGCATTTCTCTAGTAATTTGTGATGTTGAAAATCTTTTCATGGGCCTCTTGGCCATCTGAGGTGGATTTCTTATAGACATCATATATGTGGTCTTGTTTTTGTATCCATTCAGCCACTCTGTGTCTTTTGGTAGTGCATTTAATCCATTTGTTTACATTTAAGGTTAAGTATTGATGTAAATATCCTTATACATTTAAGGATAAGTATTGTGCTCCTATTGCTATTTTCTTAATTGTTTTCAGGGTCTTTTTTTCCAGTTTGTTTTTGTAGGTCTTTTTTCTTCTCTTTCATTCTCTTCTTTTGTGGTTTGATGACCATCTTTAGTGTTGGGTTTGGTTGCTCTTTCTCTTTTGTGTATTTATTTATTGTAGTTTTGGGTTTGCTGATCCCCTAAGGTTTCAATATAGCAGTTTGTATATATACAAGGTTGTTTTAAGTTGCTTGTTTCTTTCTTGCCTAGAGGAGTTTCTTTAGCATTTGCTGCAAAGCTGGTCTGGTGGTGCTGAATTCTGTTAGCTTTTACTCATCTGTAAAACTTTTGATTTCTCTATCAAATCTGAATGAGAGCCTCACTGGACAGAGTATTCTTGGTTGTAGGTTCTTCCCTTTCATCATTTTAAATATATCATGCCATTCCCTTTTGGCTTGCAGAATTTCTTCTGAGAAATCAGCTGAAAACCTTATAGGAGTTCCCTTGTATGTTATCTGTAGTTTTTGCCTTGTTCCTGTTAATATTTTTTTCTTTGTCTTTAATTTTTATCAGTTTATTACCATGTGTCTCAGTGTGTTCATCCTCGGATTTTTCCTTCCTGGACTTGGTTGACTGTTTCCTTTCCCATGTTAGGGAATTTTTCAGCTGTTATCTCTCCAAATATTTTCTTGGGTCCTTTTGCTCTCTTCTTCTGGGACCCCTATAATGCAAAGGTTGGTGCATTTAATGTTGTCCCAGCGATCTCTTAGGCTCTCTTCATTTCTTTTCATTTTTTTCTTTATTCTGTTTGCAGGAGTGATTTCCATCATTCTGTCTTCCAGGTCACTTATCCATTCTTCTGCCTTAGTTACTCTGCTATTGATTCCTTCTCATGTATTTTATATCATTTCAGTTATTGTATTGTTTATCTCTGTCTGTCCTTTAGTTCTTCTAGGTCTTTGTTAAACATTTCTTGCATCTTTTCAGTCCTGCCCTCTATTCTTTTCCCAAGATCCTGGATCATCTTCACTAACATTATTCTGAATTCTTTTTCAGGAAAGTTGCCTGCCTCCACTTCATTTAGTTGTGTTTCTAGGGTTTTATCTTGTCTCTTTGTCTGGGACATAACCCTCTTCCTTTTCATTTCATCTAACTTTTTGTGATTGTGGTTTTCATTCTGCAGGCTGCAGGATTATAGCTCTTCTTGCTTCTGCTGTCTGCCCTCTGGTGGATGATGCAAGAGGCTTGTGCAAGCTTCCTGATGGGAGGGATTGATGGTGGGTATAGCTGGGTCTTGCTCAGCAAAACTTTTGTCTGCTAATGGGTGGGGCTTCTGTTGGTTGGTTGGCCTGAGGTGAGCCAGCACTGGAGTTTACAGACCATTGGGGCTGGTGATGGCCTCTTTAGGACTTACACCATTGCGTACTTCCAAGAACTGCTGCTCCTTGTCCCTGTGTGAGCCACAGCCACCACCACTGCCCCTTGGCACCACCTCTGCAAGAGACCCTCCAGCACTAGCAGGCAGGTCTGGCTCAGTCTCCTGTGGGGTCGCTGCTCCTTTCCCCTGGGTCCTGGTGTGCATGAGACCCCGTGTGCCTTCCAGGAGTGGTGTCTCTGTTTCCCCCAGTCCTGTGGAAGCCCTGCAGTCAAATCCTGCTGGCCTTCAAAGTCAGTTTCTCTGGAGATTCCTCCTCCTGTTGCTGGATAGCCAGGTTGGGAAGGTTGATGTGTGGCTCAGAACCTTCACCCCAGTGGGAGAACTTCTGTAGTATAATTGCTTTCCAGTTTGAGTCACCCACCCAACAGTTACAGAATTTTATTTCATCATGATTGCATCCCTCTTAACATCTCATTGTGGCTTGTCTTTAGATGTGGGGTATCTTTATTGGTGGGTTCCAGCATCTTCCTGTCAATCATTGTTCAGCAGTTTATTTGTGATTCCATTGCTCTCTCAAGAACTGGGTGAGGGCATGTCCTTCTACTCCACCATCTTGAACTTGTCTCCCCCAAACCTATTTTGAATTGAAGTATTTCTCACCATCTCCATTATTAGGAACCTTGTCTAAACCATGACAGGTAGCCTCCATTTGGTCTGCTTCCATACCTGTCTCCCTACTGTTTTTATTTGCCACTTGACAGAGGGATTTTTGTAAAGTTGAAATTAACTCTTTCTTGTTTAATATTCTTTCTGTCACAATCAGAATAACATCTAGGCTCTTGACAAAACCTCATTTTCCTCTTTTCTCCATGTACACTTGGATTGGAGTGCTCTTTTCCCCTGGGTACTCACAAAACTGTCCTTCCTTTTTTTCATTCAGCGCTCACCTCAGAAAGGCCTTTCCTGCACATCCTGGTTCAAGCAGCACCTCTATCACACTACCTTATTTTATTTTCTTCATAGCAGCTACAGCCTCAAATTTGACTATTTCCTCTCTACTTGGAGGTGATCTAGTGGGTTAGACAAAAAGTCCGTTTGGGATTTTCCATCTTATGGGAAAACCTGAACAAGTATTTTGACTAACCCAATATTTTCTGAACAGTACTTTGATCTATTCACTGTTCCCAAGTCGGTGCCCTCAGACCTAAAATAGCCATTGCATATAGTAGGTACTGGGTAAATATCTGTTGACTGAGTGACAAGTTGATGTCAGTTAACTGCTAATTAGCTGTGTCATCTTGGTTAAGTCATAAGTCATTTTTACTTTTGGGACTTGGTTCTTTTGGTTCTCTTGAAAATGAGAATTATATTAAATTAAGGGATGCTAATTTTTTTTCCCGCCTAGCTCAGTCCAGATACTAAATAAGAAATTTCTTCCTTTATATTATTAAGAATATTGTGACATTTAAAATCGTGCATGCTTTTTAAAACACTTATTAAGAACTTACACTAGGTGCTGGGGATACAGAGAAAAAAATCCTTGCCCTTGGGAGAAAATCAGTTAGAGTATCATACACAAAGGAAGTTTTTCTTTCCTAATTGCTTACTCTGGGTGAGTTCCCTTTTGTGGCTGTGGTTTTTGAAGAATGTAATCCAACAAGGTTTCATGCTTTGTGGAATTCAGTTTTGTGTTCAGTTGATTTAAGGGGAAATCTCAGAGAAGAAAGCTGTGTGTTAATTGTTCAAGAATCATGAAAAGAATCTTCATTTACTACCCACTGGCTTATTTGAATCTGATTAAACTCTTAAATGATTGTCTCAATTTAATCAACTTTAAACTTATACTTGATAATTTTGAGTTGAGTGCATTAGCCAGTCATCAAGTAGTGATTTCCTGAATTATTTTCACTTCTTCCTCTATGGACTTAACCAGCTATCTAAAGGGATGTATTTAACACTAAGGTACCCAAATCATTGCTGAATTTTTCTTTGAAAGAAAAGCAAGAAAACCCAATCTATAATATTGTTTATTAAATGTGCTGGGCACAATGCTAAGTTTATCATTTCATCTAGCTCATATGACAAAGTTTTGAAGTGGATACTATTTTTGTGATCTTGTAAGAGACAAGACTGAGTTTCAGAGTGAGTGACTTGCCCAGGGTCACATGGTTAGAGCCAAGATTATGATTAAGGCTGATTTTCCCAAAGCTGTGTTCTTATTTATTATCCTACACTACTCCCAAGTCATACTTGTTAAACTCATTTACTGTTCATAAAAGCATCATGGTTTCAGCAGTCAGTTAATTTAGTGAAGGATATGTAAGTAACTGTACTGTTCCAATTTTCTTTCGTCAGGAGAATAAGCATTTTGGATTAATTTGGACCTGTAAAAATTTTTTTAAGCTATTATGTAACAGGAAGTCTGCAAACCATGAGTTAGAACCTGTCATCACTACTCTTTACAATTTTTGGTTTTAAATGGTCCTCAGTAGAAATGTACTGAGCACAAAGTTCACCTTTCTATTTTCGGTTTTCTGACTTTTCCCCTGAATCTTGATCTGTCAGCAGAGGAACCTTTCATCTGCTTATTTCTCCTGGTATAATGATTTCAGGTCTATTCAGGGTAATTGTTGCTGCAAAACCAAAATGTAGAAATAGTCTACATTTCTAAAACCAAAATGTGGTAATAGTCCTTTTATATTAGATACTGAAATAAGTTACCATGTACCTTTTTTTTTCTTTTCAGTGTTAAAAAGCTTATTCTATTCTTATAACCATTTTGGTGTTTCTTATTTTCCAGACCATAGTCTTGAGTTTACTTATGAGGTCAATTGGAAATAAGAACACCATTTTATTGGGTCTGGGATTTCAAATATTACAACTGGCATGGTATGGCTTCGGTTCAGAACCTTGGTATGTACAAATCTTTTAATTTTCTTAATTTTGATGTTTGCCTTGTTCTTGTTTTTCACCTTTTTTGGGGTATAACTGACAGAATTTTTATATTTCTTAATTTGCTTCTCAAATAAGAATTAGACTCTGTTTTTTGGTATGCTTTTTTTTTCCCTCAAAATGTATATAAACAGATTTCTCACTTGTGTATTCTATAGTGGCTTGAGGACAGTGGAGTGACATTTTATATCTAAGCAACAGATTGGGTTTTTTAAAATGAGATTATTGAGCTTTTCAGCCCCCAGTGAGCATTTAATCCAGTTTAGTTTGTTAGGAAATAACATGTAATCCCAGAGCAGCAAGGTTAGGGAAGAAAAAGTGGAGTAATACTACTTTTTTGATCATTACTGATGGCAAACCAGAAATCCAGTTGTTTTGGTTCTGGCTTCATGCTTGGAAGGCTCTCTCTGCTTTTCTTGCCTCTTTGGTTTCCTGCAGGGAGGTGATGGAAGTGGTGCTGCTGATGTTAGGCTGCCCATGTACACTTCTCTGCTCAGATCCTACAGGGCTGAACTCCATAGTGTTTGCAGTAGTTTCATTCAACTGAACACATCACCTGTTTGGGCGTGGATATGAGTAAGCACCCAAGAGTGTGTTCTGATGGACATCGTAGTTTTCAGTCTAGCTTGTAAAAGAGATGCTCACAACTTAGTGAAAACATTTCTTTTTTAAACATCAAGCCAGAAGCACATTTAGATCAAATGAGTGCTTTTTTTTTCACACTGAATCACAAATCTCTGGGAACCTTGCCATAAGTTACAAGCAAACATTTGGAAACATTTAATGTTTCATTCTGTGTATTATCCATGCTTTCAACATTCTCCACCCACCCCCAGTCCTGCAGAAATAATACCCAACACAGTTTACAGTTTAGATGTGATATGTGATATCCCAATTCTACATTAATACCCACAGCATTCTCGTGAATAAGCGACTGTATTTCTGCTTTCTAGAAGAGTAAACAGGGTTAGACTTTTAAGTGACTTGCCCAGAGTCACAGAGGAAGGAAGAGCTAGTTCTCCTTTCTCCTGTACCACAGCTGTTTCTCAGTAAGCGTTACTTGATTTAAATACGTATTTACATGTTTACATACAGGCACAATGAAAAATAACAACACCACCCTATTTCTGTTTTGATGCTTTGGTTGCAGGATGATGTGGGCTGCTGGGGCGGTGGCAGCCATGTCCAGCATCACCTTTCCCGCCGTCAGTGCACTGGTGTCACGAACTGCTGATGCTGACCAACAAGGTGGGTTGATAGGAACCAGTGATAATTACTTTAAAAAATACAGGATTAAGTACTGAGTCATATGCACATCTTCAGAGTAAAGAATTTTAAATTGCTTCATTGTACTAAGTACTCTGTAGTGGTCTATTTGGGAAAATAATCCAAAAAAAGAGTGGATATATGTATACGCATAACTGACTCACTTTGCTGTACAACTGAAACTAACATTGTAAATCAACTCTAGTCCAATAAAATTAAAAAATAATAAGTTGCGTTCATTGTGAAGAGGAAAAGCAGATTCTAGGATATTATCTTTAGGTGGATATCCTTGTCTCTCAATGTGAACATGTGGCCCTATCTGTTCTTTTGCTAAAAAATTTAGTGATGAAGGTTGACCACCTTATATTAACTAACCATTTAGTTATTACACATTTGCTGTGATGTGTTCGATATCTCAGGGATACACCAAGTGAAGTGAAATTGCTCTGTCGTGTCACTCTTTGTAACTATACATGGACTGTAGCCTGCAAGGCTCCTCCTTCAATGGGATTCTCCAGGCAGGAATACTGGAGTGGGTTGCCATCTCCTATTCCATACCCTTTCATTAATATTGTGTGTTTGTTATCTAAAGAACATAAAGAACTTATTTTTATTGTCTTATGTTTTTGTGGCAGGAACTCAATTTTTAAAATTCTAACAGATGAGGAATAATTCTTTGAAAAGCTTGTTTATGTCAAAAGGAAAAAAGGGGGCATTACAAAAGAGTGGCAGAAGTCACTTGACTGATAAATAAGGACAGGACCCTGGCCAAATCAAGTTGCTTTTTAAATTCGGGAGAAGATCCCTGAGATAAAACAAAAATCAGACTATAAAAAGGGGCTTGGGGACTTACTGGCGGCCCAGTGGCGAAGAATTCACTGTGCAGCGCAGGGGACACAGGTCAGATCCCCGGTCCGGGAGCCGAGCTCCCACGTGCCTCATAGCAACTAAGCCTGCATGTGACAACCAAGACCCAAGGTAGCCAAATAAACAAGTATTTTTTTAAAAGGAGGGGGAGTGCTATATTTGACTAAGTGAGATCTTAAGGAGCTGCTTGGGGACAGGTTTTTTAGTATCTGTGCTTATGAACCCATGCCTGATTTTGAACTAGGAGATTTTTTTTTTTTTTAAGACAATAAGTGATTCTGCTCACTTGTTTCTAAATTAGACCTATGTCTCAGTATACCTGTGCTTACATTTGCATCAAGAGCGCGCTGTACTTTGTGGAGCTTATAGCGTCAAAATAATTTTGATGCCACTGCAATAAGTTGCCAGTGTCTGATAAAAGCTTTGGCTTTAGAATAAGTGATTTCAGGTCTTAGTTGTACAGTAGGAAAAACGAAGTGGTACACTAATTTGTTTAAACAATCCAGGTGTCGTTCAAGGAATGATAACAGGAATTCGAGGATTATGCAATGGTCTGGGACCAGCTCTTTATGGATTTATTTTCTACATATTCCATGTGGAACTTAAAGAACTGCCAATGACAGGAACAGACTTGGGAACAAACACAAGCCCACAGCACCACTTTGAACAGGTAATTATACAAAGTCCCTTCATTTGGCTGGACTGAAAGATGATGTTTTTTGGTCATTTTGTAAAAGCTTTTGAGATTCTTAGATTGAATAAAAACACTTAAAACCAAAGCCCAAGGGACCATATCCTTCTATACACACATTTCTTTATAAAACTGGCTGTGTATTCCTTTCTTCCCTGTATAATTGTTTTTTAATTATATATTAATTTCTAGTTTGTCTTATTGTACCTAGTGGCATAAGTAACGGCCATTTGTGTATACTATTTGTCTTTTATGTAAGGCTTCTGGAATGTTAAGAGTGCCCCGTATCAGATCTGCCTTTCTACAGAAGTCAGTTAGGTGCTGGCAAACATCTTTGTTCACTAGAGTCCCCTCCTTAAAACTGAAAATATTAACCTTGAAACACAATATCATTTTAGCCAATACAAACAACTCACCAGTCTTTGTATTTAGCAGAGTTCTACATTCATCTTCTAACCAGCTGAGACAGCTTTTAAATAAAAAAGAATGTTTGTTTGCGGGCTCTACCCAGGTAAAACTGGCAGTGCAGGTTTTTGCTAAGGATGAATGTAATTTTGGACTAAAACACAAGTCTGTTTGATTCTTCTCATAGTAACAGCATTATCTGTGTTTTTCTCACTTTCGGTCACTAGAGAATATAACCACCTTTTAAAGAAAGAAAATGGTCAGTCATTCTGCCTCTGTAGTTAATATTATGTATTACTTGATTTTGAGATCTCCCTGTTTTCTTCTTAAACTAATAAAGTGAAAGTTCATAGAATGTATTCATATTTTATACTCTAAATGACAATATATTTTTGCACGTGTTGTTTTTAAAAAAAATTGGGGCTCTTTCCTGGGTCAGCTGTTATCCCACAGAATCTTATATTGAGAATATGATAGTGTTTCTTTTCCCTTTGAAAAGGAAAACTTTTTTTTTCTAACTGTGGCTTTAGTGAAGAAAGAGGCGTCATTGGCTTATAATTCACAGCCATCAGTTATTGTAAAAGATAAGCAGTTTCTTAGGAGCAAAGATGTCTGTGCAGAAATCTTAATTATCTTTGTCTTCCTCAGAATTCCATCATCCCTGGCCCCCCCTTCCTCTTTGGAGCCTGTTCAGTACTGCTGGCTCTGCTTGTTGCCTTGTTTATTCCGGAACATACCAATTTAAGCTTACGGTCCAGCAGCTGGAGAAAGCACTGTGGCGGCCACAGCCATCCTCACAGCACACAAGCACCAGGAGAGGCCAAAGAGCCTTTACTCCAGGACACGAACGTGTGACAGCCGGGGTCAGGGAGGCTCTCTGTCGGTGCCCGGCCTCAGCCTGCGCCTCTGGTTCTGGACGTACATTCCGTCTCCGTCTGCAGTGTGCTTTAATAAGCCTGTCTCAAGAAATGTATCTGCATGAACTGTGTGGGAACTAAAGAAGGAAAGAACCGGACAGTTTTCCAAAGATGTTACAATTTCTTTTGAAAAGAAATCGTTTATTAGCACCAGTTTCTTGCCACTAAGCTGTTTGTTTTATTATACATCCTTTAATTAAAATTAAAAACTATATATGTAACTTCTTTAGATACTAGCAATGTCTCTGCTACCATTTCCTTCAGGTGTTGAGCTTTAACTCTATTTATGCTGACTCAACAGTGAGACAGAGTAGGTAGTATAGTGTGAACCTGTTCATTTTAACATTGTAAAATCCTGAGTCAGATTTTAATATTATAAAATCTTGGGTCAAATAATTCAAAGCCTTAATGCAGATGCACTAAAGTAAAGAAATGGTAAATGTTTGCATTTAAAAAACAAAATTCTGAAGAAAACTATACTAAATCTGAATCATGTTTCAAGCTTGTTTTTAGTAATTTTATTTTAAACATTATTCACTGTTTTTGAAATGAGAAAAGATCAGCCATTTAGAATTTAAATTGGGGTGTTTGGAGCCTGTAAATCTAAATGCTGGCTCGAATTTGTCTCCCAGCTACTATACCACTATCTTTTAATGTTTGCATAATCATAAGAACCTCAACACTTGAATACATAATCTAAAAATTATATAGTAAAGCTGGTAGCCTTGAAAAATGTCAATGTGATATCTATATGTAGATAAATATATATAGTGGCCTTTCAGACTGTCACAGTAACACTTTATTTACAGAGCTAATGTTTGTCCTAAATTTTCAGGACCCTAGAAGAGAGCTTTATACAATTACTGATGTGAATTTCTCTATAGTGTATATTTTTGTGTCCAGTTATATTATTTAAAAAAGTGTTACTTTGTAAAAATTGTACATAAAGTACTGTATAGTTTACACTGTTTTCATCTTGTGTGTGGTTATTGCTTAATGCTTTTTAAACTTGGAACATTCACTATGGTTAAATAAGGTCTTAAAAAAAATGTAAATATTCTGTTAATAAAATTAAATATTTTAATGATTTTTTTTTTAAAAGAAAGTCTTGATCTGTGATTCCCTATTTATAAGGCCTGTTTTGGCTTTGTTACTGTACTTTTACAGTAACAATACCTTCTCCCTTTGAATCCATTTCATTTCCCTCATTTAATAAAATACTGTTATAGGAAGCAAAGAAATGAAAACTTAGTCCATAAATTTACTGGAAATAATTTTCTAAGCACAGGTCTTATAGGTCAGTTCTATTTCTGTTTTTATACACATGTAAACATGTCATATTCCCAAAATATTAATACTTTATTAAAACAAAGCTCAGTTTACAGAAATACATTAAATGCAATATTTTGATTATTAACACATGTACAACTGTACACAGAACAATTTCAAATAAAATTTAAGAGGTAGAGAAAATAATTAGCACACTCAGAAGTCTTTAGCAAGTTGACATCAAAATTATCTCTATCCTAGTCATATATCCTCTCCAAACCCATGTTACAACATTTTATATTACACAGTATTTACAAGGAAGAGTCCAATATTGCCGAGAAGTTGCTTTCCAGATTAGTGTTTTCAAGTTATTGTAACTGAGTAATCTTACTAATATAGTATATCTAAATGACCAAAAAAAAAAAACTGTATAAAAACTATCTAATAATGGTTACTAAGTTTTTTTAAAATAGATCCCCATTTTAAGACAGTTTGCAGTTCCCAGCAGAGTTTCAAAGTGTGAAAAGACTCAATATTGTGGCTTCACAAAAGAATTAGCAAAGGTTCTATTTTACTTTGGAGGCTAGTAATATTGGTGGGTTGTCAACATCCTGAAGTGTCTCTTTCCTCATCTGTGTAATAACATAACATCCGTGAAAATATTTTTTAAAAGTATCACAAGAGCATTAACAATCTATAAACAAAAAATGCTTTAGAGGTTTCTTAAGAGAATGCTACTCTACTGGATGGCTGTCAAGAAAACAAAATGGAGCCCTGTGATTGTGGGTAAGTTTTTTTTAAATCACCTTATTTTTTCCAAGGAACAAATTCTGACTTGAAACTTTCAATTATAGGGAAGAAAAGAAAGCTGTCACTTCTAAAATTATTCACTTTGCCTACTTTACTAAGCGAACATGAAAATGAACCTATTTTGATATTATAAAAATTAATATTCATGATGCTCTCATAGTAAATATTTTGTGTAAGTACTAATTTTTAAAACTATTCCACTAATACAGATTTAAGTGAATAACAAAACTTCAAATGAAGGAGAACTGATGACTATAGGCTTCCAGGAAGCATTAAAATCCTATTAACTGGCTCAAATGACTTTGTACCTAATCTGGTCATGTAATTAGACTGTCCAAAATTTTTTGTATAATTTATTAAAATTACAGACTTACTCAAAAGATAATTTAAAGGGTTCAAGGAAAATATTTACTTGCTATGAAGAATTTCATTCATTTAAGGTAATTTCAGGATTTTTCCCTTTAAATATCATCAATAATATATCTCAAGAGGTAATCATTTTCCCTCATAATTCTCAGGTGGCAAATTTAAATTTTTATTGTACTAATGAAAATGATAAAATGAATTGACAGTTTTCTTTGGCTTCATCAAAATATTAATATACCTGAGCAGGTTTTAATGAACCGAGATACTCAATGACCAGGCTCTCCCTTGTAAGGATCAATTCTTTCCTTAGAACTCCTGAGAATTTCTAAGGATTAGTTTAATAAAATTCTTACTATTCTATAAAACACCACATTCCAAACTAGAAAGTGTCATTTGTTCAGAAGCGTCACCAACTTCCAAGTACAGGTCTGCTCCTCTAAACTGCATAAACGACAGCAATAAAGGACCCTATCTAATACAGCAGTAATTCAGGTGAACTCTGAAACCTGCATGCTCAGAATTTCAGCTATATGCTGTTACCATAGTTTTAAGCCATGTCAATGTCTAAAATTTCAAAAAAAGAAAAGATGACACTAGGGTTAACTGTTTGGTAGCTGCCCAGGAAAATAAGCTGAAGATGTAGAAGGGAGCACTGTGGGTTTTGAAGATGTTTGCAATGCTCCTAAAGTGCCATCTTTCTGATGGTCTGCAAATGAGGACAAAAAAAAGTGTATTTATATTAGTCCTTATACAATACATTTAATTAAACCACAGTATACAATCCACACTGCTTCAGAAATGTCTTCTCACCTGGATTATTAAAGAGATTTTGGCTGAGTCCACGCAAAGGAATGCTATCTTCCCTTTTCTTCAGATATTTGGATTCCAGTCCTAAATTTTCACCACTTGAAAGAAAAACAGTAATTATGAACGTAATTTGACAAAGTCTTATTTTCTCTACAGTAAGGTCTGAATGTTTATATACATACATATATGACAATATAACTAACGTTTATAGCTTTGTTCAAATCATGCTTTTCAGTGGATTCTTAAGCAAATAATTTATCCTAAGCCAAAGTATACATCTTCTCAGTAAAAATAAGATTTTCCTTTGACCAAAAGCCCCTCAAAATTTTGTAGTGCTTCAAAGTTGTCATTATTAACTATTAATACTCACTACACTAATGAATTCTGGCCAAATGAATAAAAACATGAAATCTTGAAAAAAACAAAGGAGGGGGTATTCTGTAGTTGCACTTTCCCTCTTTCAACCACTATATTCCTTCCTTTTGAATCTATCCACTGTTAACAGTTTCTCTAATAGTACACTTGTAAGAAGTTAAAAGATCTTGTAAAGCAATGACATTCTATCTTTAACATTAAATGGTCTTTTCTCAATTTTCAGAAAAAAATGGGTGAATAGGTGTTTTTTCAATTTTAATTTTTTTCTTTAACCTTTGCCACTTATTACTAGCAGACTACAAACAAACTCTAAACAACTCAAAACAGCACAACAGTCCTAATTTTATAGACATGTGATTATGTCAATTTTGTACAACAAATATCATTTTTTTCTGTTAAGTAAAACTGTTCTTGGTGTATATGATAAAGTTAAACATAAACATCATGGTGTTCTATTAATTCCAGGTGTTCTGCCACTTTAACAAGTATGAGCTTCAATATAGCAAACATGAACATTTCAGGACCTGAAAGAATTCTCACCTGTTTAAAAAATGGAGGCTCACAAACATTAACTATTATAATACTCATCTTGGTGCTAATTTTAGAGAAGCCAATGAATAAAGCCCAGAGACCTGGAATAAGAAGCCTTTTGGAGCCATGTCAGTAATTTACTTTGCAACATATTGGGGATGGTGATGGCTCATGATAACAAGTACCAACATACAAATCTTAAAGCAATTAAATTTTAAGTAAATAAACATAATGGTAAGAAAACAGTATTAAAAACATAAATACTAATCAGACAAATCTGCATTTATAAATTGTTTACTTTAGCCACAACTCACTGATTCAACAAACTTCACTATGCAAAACCAGCTTAAGAACTAAAAAATAAGTAATCTCTGAGTAGGCAAAATTGGCATTAAAGCTTATTTATGTTAGCTTGACTAGGGAGCAACCTCACAAGACTTTTCACTCTTATTTACCACAGAATTTTAATTCTGAATACACTGGAAGCAATTACTTGGAAAAACAGAGCTTCCAAAGGCAGACATAGCCATATAGGAAAATAAAAACAAAACTGCCAACTCTGATGAATTAAAGATTTCTATCTAACTGCCCAAGAATATCTGAAAGGGTATTCCTCAGTTATATAGAGAAATCCCTTTTAAAAAATTAAATTTTACTATATGTCTTTAAAACTATAGTTTTAAAAAAATATGAGAAACCACTTTCTTACAGATGAAAGTGACTAACTTAATCCCAGTGCTCAGCAACTTAACACATCACATAAACAAATGGCCATCACAG